CACATACTACCAGGAACGTTGGCATGGATATGGAGCACAAACTCTATTCTGTGGGACTTGGATTGTTTCTTATATTAGGTCTAGACATCTATGTTGGCCTTATTATACTGATAGCATCATTATGAGATTATGAAGACTGAAGAAAATGAAATAACGTATTCATAATGCCAAAATGTAATCATTCCAGTGTCTCCTTTGTGCTTTTTGGTTTGAAATCCTCATATCTAAAATTAAGTTATTAGGATGCCTTTAATTCCTTTTCCACTAAAAGATTTTTGCCATTGTGTCCTGTTCTGATAAATTCTTTTGCTACAATGAAAACATATCTTTATAAATTAATGTGTGTGATGCAGAATAAAATCTTAAGAGGTAGGAATAGTAACTCTTTTGCTATTTGATACAATACATGCTAATGCTCTGCCAAACATTTCTAAGGTAACATGTTCCAAACTGTGTCCAAAGTACTAGCTTCCGCTTATCATAAAACCGCCAATCAAGTTTCATCCAGATTGTATTTGAAATAACAAAAACTCCTCAAGTTAAAAGATCAAGCTGTAAATTCTTCAAATCTCAATTTAAAAAAATACAGATTCTGTCTATAAAATCTTTAACGATGAGGGTAGTAAGGAAAATAATTCCAACAATGTCCATAGCATCCACCTGCAGATGTCTTAGTGGGGTTGTGCTTGCCCCTGGCATTAACTCTTTGCTCGATATTTTTATCTATTTCACCCTCAGACCCAGGCCAAAACAGATTTTCTGGATTGACCAGTCATCTGGCTAGACTGATCCCACTTTCCAGCTATCCAGAGGAATGTGTCTAGATCTGCTGCTGTGTTTATTGAGGAGTCAGTAGCCGATAGAATTACTAACTTTAGAAATCACCCCCCACCCCACTGATGGTCTGCATTACTGCTCTGTGTAGAGAAGGCCTTGGATACTAGTAACCATTTCTGGTGTTTTTCTAGTGTTTATTGGATAAACACCAGTTTCATTTGTGTGAGGAGTGTTTTATCAGTGTTTATAACAGAGCTTCTCATTTTAGGTTTTAACTGATAAAGTAAAAATTAGGGCTGTCAAGCGATTAAAAAAATTAATTGCAATTAATTGTGCGATTAATCGCACTGTTGAACAATAGTAGAATAGCATTTATTTACATCTATTTGGATGTTTTCTACATTTTCAAATATATTGATTTAAATTACAACACAGAATACAAAGTGCTCACTTTATATTTATTTTTGATTACTAGTATTTGCACTGTAAAAAAACCAAAAGAAATAGTATTTTTTCAATTTGCCTAATATAAGTACTGTAGTGCAATCTCTTTATCATGAAAGTTGAAATTTCAAATGTAGAATTATGTACAAAAAAACCTGCATTCAAAAATAAACCAGTGTACATTTTAGAACCTGCAAGTCCACTCAGTCCTATTTCTTCAGCCAATCGCTCAGACAAACAAGTCTGTTTACATTTGCAGGACATAATGCTGCCCGCCTCTTGTTTACAATGTTACCTGAAAGTGAAAATAGACATTCTGATGGCACTGTTGTAGCTGGCGTCACAAGATATTTACATGCCAGATGCGCTAAAGATTCATATGTCCCTTCATGCTTCAACCACCATTCCAGTGGGCATGTAACCATGCTGATGACGGGTTCTGCTTGATAACCATCCAAAGCAGTGCGGACCAATGCATGCTCATTTTTGTTATCTGATTCAGATGACACCAGCAGAAAGTTGATTTTCTTTTTTGGTGGTTAGGGTTCTGTAGTTTCCGCATCTTTTAAGACTTCTGAAAGCATGTTTCACACCTCGTCCCTCTCAGATTTTGGAAGCACTTCAGATTCTTAAACCTTGGATCGAGTGCTGTAGCTATCTTTAGATAGCTATCTCACATTGATACCTTCTTTGTGTTTTGTGAAATCTGCTGTGAAAGTGTCCTTAAAATGAACATGTGCTGGGTCATCATCCGAGACTACTATAACACAAAATATATGGCTGAATGTGGATAAAACAGAGCAGGGGACATACAAGTCTCCCCCAAGGAGTTCAGTGTCAAATTTAATTAACACATTATTTTTTTAATGAGCATCATCAGCATGGAAGCATGTCCTCTGGAATGGTGGCCGAAGCATGAAGCGGCATACGAATGTTTAGCATATCTGGCACGTAAATACCTTGCAATGTCGGCTACAAAAGTGCCATGTAAATGCCTGTTCTCATTGTCTGGTCACGTAAATAAGAAGGGGGCAGCATTATCTCCTGTAGAATCATAGAATATCAGAGTTGGAAGGGACCTCAGGAGGTCATTTAGTCTAACTCCCTGCTCAAAGCAGGACCAATCCCCAGAGAGATTTTTACCCCAATTCCCTAAATGGCCCCCTCAAGGATTGAACTCACAACCCTGGGTTTAGCAGGCCAATGCTCAAAGCACTGAGCTATCCCTCCCCCTGTAAATGCAAACAAACTTGTCTGTCTTAGCAATTGGCTGAACAAAAAGTAGGACTGAGTGGACTTGTAGGCTCTGAAGTTTTACATTGTTTTGTTGTTGAGTGCAGTTATGTAACAAAAAGAAAATCTACATTTGTAAATTGCACCTTCCCAACAAAGAGATTGCACTACAGTACTTGTATGAGGTGAATTGAAAAATACTTTTTCTTTTGTTTTTCATTTTTACAGTGCAAATATTCATAATAAAAAAATATACAGTTTGATTTCAATTGCAACACAGAATACAATATGTGAAAATGTAGAAAAACATCCAAAATATTTAATACATTTCAATTGGTACTCTATTGTTTAACAGTGCGATTAATACTGCGATTAATTTTTTTGTTAATCGTGTGACTTAACTGCGATTAATTGACAGCCCTAGTAAAAATGTGAAATTATTGTGTTTTAGTGATTAAATATTGATTATATTTAATGCTTTCTCTATCTGTTTCAATATTACCAACTGCTCCAGTGTCCTTGAAATGCACTTTTACCTTGCTGACTACCTTTGATTACTTCAAAGTAATCAATAAATTACTTCCAGCAGAAAATTTTATCTCCATGTAATTTAAAATATGCTTCCTGCATACTTTGCATGTTTGTATCTAGATTTTAGAGCTATGAGAAAGAGCTAGCGGTGATCGTATTTATAAGGCATAATCAGCCTCTTTAGAGGGCACAAATACAACCTTAAGATAAGCATGTGATGGGTTGCCCCCCTTTAAGATGCCACCTGATGTGCTGGGATACCACTGAGCCCACCTGTTCTGCCAGCGTGGGCCCCCTTTACCCTGTCTTGCTGAGCCAGACTATTAAGTCTCCTCTAGCACACACACAGGCAGGGCCACACCCAACTGCAAAACGACAGACACTGAGATCAGCTCTGGGAAGCCTCAGCTTAAGGGACTTGCCCCAGCACTTAGGTGTCCACCTCCCTTGGAGTGCAGACCCAAAGGTATATTGTCGTGCGCTGTGGAGAAATCTATACAACGCAAGCTAATAAATTTGCCTCCTCCCTCAATGTGGAGGAAGATATGTACTACAACTTGCCCCCCGAGTTAGAAATTACAGAAACTGGATTTAATAATAAACTAAACAAATTTTATTAACTATAAAAGGCAGATTTTAAGTGGTTAAAGGGGTAGCAAACAGAACAGATTACTAAGCAAATAAAAACACCCAAACTAAGTTTGATTCACTAAAGAAACAGGTTACAAAATATAATTTCTCACCCTAAATATTGTCACAGGTAGATTACAGAAAGTCTTGAAAGGCAGCTGCACTGGCCTACAGCTTGAGACTTCAGGTATTTCCACTCACAGACTGGACGCCCTCCCAGCCTCGGTTCAACCCTTCTCCCCTCAGTTCAGTTCTTGCTCTCAGGTGTTTTTCAGTGTCTCTTTGGGTGGGGAGGAAGAGGAGAACCATGATGATGTCACTCCCATGCCATATATAGTTGTTGTGTATGGTAGGAACCCTTTGTCTCCCAGTGGAAGAACACTGGCATTCCAAGGGGTGGGTCTAGTACCAGGTTACTCAGACCCATGTCTCTGCAGGGCTGTGGCAGCCATTACTCCGAGGCTGTCTGGAGTGTCCACAAGAAGACTAAGCCCTTTCACAGTCCATTGTCTTTGCTAATGGCCCATTAGTCCTGTCTGGCTTTTCCATTGTTGTACCCGAAGGGCTAGTTGGGGGTGACACCCAAAGTAACACATTTGAAATACAGATAGTCAATATTCCTAATTTCAGATACAGAAATGACACAGGCATACAGATTGGATAATCACATTCAGTAAATCATAACCTTTCCAGTGATATCTTACATAAAGTATATGTTATGTCATATCCATATCATAAGCATATTTCTTAAAGAATATGGAGTGTAAGGTCACAAAGCATATCTAAGAATATTTACCATTGTTTTTGCAATTGTGCCTACTCTAGACTTGTCGAGGTTTTTTTTGCCTGTCATTTAATTTCTGGTCTGTTTGTCATAAATCAGCAGCCCTTCTCTAAGCTAACTGACACAGCAATCAGGAAAGGAGAAAAGAATTGGAACTAAGACATGAAATCAAAGACAACAGGCCAAATAAAGGGAATAACTACTCAAAGCACCTGTATGTCAGGAGTTTAAAGTGTACACCTATTACATGAGCTCTCTGGTATTTGGCCTTTTAGAAGCAGAAATTGCCTATATGTAAAAGGAGACAACACTCCACCAAAAGGAGGGAGGGAGTGAAGAGGAAAGCTGGGCCCATGCTTTGAAAGTGCTCAGCACCCATAACTAGGGCCAGGTTTTCAACTGAGCTCGGCAGCTCCCATTATCCTCAATAGAAGTTGCTGAGCTTGAAGCCTCTTCGGAAATTCTGATTGTGGAGTATAGCCCTGGAATAGCTTGTGATACGTTATATTTAGCAGCTGTGCTAAGCAGTAAATGTACAGCATGTGGCTTATCTTCATATATCACTCAGGAGCACTCTTTATTTTATTATTTCCCTTTGTAGACTGTTTCCATTCTGGAGCAGAGACTGACACTGACTGAAGACAAGCTGAAGGAGTGTCTTGAGAATCAGCAGAAGCTCATGCACAGTAAAGGGAATTGATTCCACGAGGGGCTGATAAAGCCGGAATTGTCTGGAGGCTTGGGGTTTTGTTTGTGTGTTTCTGATACTTTGGGTGAATCATTTTTAACAGATGGTATCACTTATTTTATTAAAATAAAATGTACAGCCAATGGCATCTGTAAATACACTTTTTTGTTACTGTAAGAATAAAATTCTTATTTCACTAAACACAGCTAACAATTTGTGATCCTTTGAGTTAAATCCCCATTGAGCAGAGGCAGTGCTAGCCCATGGGGGGGCCCTAAGCAGGAATATTTTTTGTCTCCACAATACATAATAAAATTTGAAAATAGGGGGCCCCTATGAGTTGCTCGGGACCCTAAGCAATTAGTTAGCACTAGTCTATACTAGAATCACTCCAGCAGCACAGCTGTATGCATGTAGCTGCGCCGCGGTAGCGCTGCTAGAGCAGATGCTGTATGCCGATGGGGGAGAGCTCTCACATCGGCATCATTACTGCTGCTCAGGAAGGTGGAGTAGCTTAGGTCACTCAGGAGTGTGGCTTATTCACACCCCTGAGCGACATAAGTTATGCCGAAGTAAGCACTAGTGTGTACAAGCCCGAAGTCTGCTTATGCCTAGCGCCAGCTCTGTTGAGAGCATAAGTATTGTATGTGGAGTATAGGGGAAGGGAAGATCCTAACTTCTCAGAGCTGCTGCTGAGCTAAACTAGTTAATCTGAGCAATGGGGAATGTGAAGCATCTGGAAAGTGCTGTACCAGATTTACTGATCTATAGTTGAGGTGTCTGTGTGCGTGCTGGGGGGTTTGCTCACAGGCAAAGAATGCCCAAATGGTGGACATGCACCTCTATTCTAAAACAATAGCAAGCATCAAGCAGAGAACGTGACTCATGCTTCTAGAAGGTTCTGAATCATCCAAGTCCCAAATGGCTCCTACGGAATTTGATGAAGAGCGAATCTCAATGTCCTTTGCACAGAGGATATTGTAGTGTGTAGGATCTACTCATCTCTTATACAGTTTGTAGAGAGTGAAAATAGCAGGGCCTAAGGCGAGATAAGAGGCACCAGCTAGTAAGAAACAATATGGTCCCAGGGAACATTCTCCTTGATTCATTTTCTTAAGGGAGTTGTGGGGAGGAGGATAAATAGCAGAACTGTTAGCGCAGCCTTTTACTTTTTCTGAGTGTCCCAAATCAATTTTATCTTGATATTTTATAGCTGGAATGGCACTTCAGTTCACGTTGATATTTCCCTCCCATAGACTCTATGGTCAGGACTCTATGCATGTGTCCAGTATGTGACTGCACAGGAGCCTTTGCTAATACTCCTCCCAGCATTCACCTATGACCTCGCCCCACATAACTGCTTGCTGCGTCACTACTACCTACCCACGTTGAGAAATGGGCTTCAGGAGCCCCAGCCTCACCTGGTTGCTGAAATCCTCCTAGCTGCTGCATTTCTGACCCTTTCAGTTGCAGTGACTTCCGGCCTCATTCCTCTCCCACATAGCTTCCAAATCCTGCCATCTCCAGATGTGCGCTGGGCATTATGGAAGTTTGCCTCAGGCCTGGCTGGCATGTCTGTCTTCCCACAGGCCTATGCAAAACCAGCCCTTTTCTTGCACCTGTTTCTGCGGAAGGTGGTGTTCCCCTGAATTCTATTGAAACCTTGTTAAATCCGACTGAGAGCTGCTTATTTCCATCAGGATAAAACTCTTTTCACTGTCTCTCCCAGCACCAGAAAGATCCTTATCTCCTCCTATGCAAGTGCTTCCCACATCTCCAACTCCTAGCTGGAGCTACATAATAGATTTCACTCCTTTTGGTTTGCAAGCAGCCAGTGGCTTTGTTTTATTTCCAAGCATCTTTGGTTGATGAATTTGAATCTCTTTCTGCATAACCGCAGACTAAGAATGCTTATTTTCTCCATTTCCAAGCTGTGAATCTGAGAAATCATTATTTTCACTTAGATTCATCTACTGGAATCGATCCAGTGATATTTTTTCCCCTAATAGCCATTTTTTAAATGCTCTTTCTAGAAGCTTTCAGTGGCTTTCTGTTGTGAAGTCATTACATCATTTTCATTGATGGAGAAAGAGAAAAATTAAAACAAGGAAAATCTGATTTTAAAGGAGGAGGGCTATCCCTAAACTGATCTAATTTGATTGGCAGAAATGATTAAAATAAAAAGTGGTTTCATGGAATGAGAACTTGTAATTGGATCTTATCAGTTGAATCCAAATGTCTTGGAACGCTCTTTAGTTAAGTTAGATGAAAAGCACTTAAGAGAAAATTGAAATCTAAAACTTTATAAAATATAGCATTGTATTGCTCTTAATAGTGTAAATATAGTAATGTCTTGGAGACGTAAGCATTTTGTATAGTACTTTTTACGGAAGCTTTCAATAAAAGCAATTTGGGTATAACATTCAATGTAGATCCTTTTCCTTTTAGTTTTTAAGGTGAACTAATTTCAAAGATGCTCATTTGTGTGTGTGTGTGTGTGTGTGTGTGTGTGTGTGTGTAGTAATAAATATATATACTACACACACACA